TAACACTTTGTCTAATTATCCAGTATTTGTCTATTTGAATTTTAATATTTTTCAAGACTACAAGCACTTGTATTTTTTTTTATTCTATACATTTTTTACTCCTAATCATGTTTAAAATATTCCTCCTAATCATACTTCACATTGGGGGAGTGAATCTGAAGATTATTTTAAAATATTCCTCCTAATCATGTTTAAGTAGGAATTCGAAGGTCATATATATATATTAATATTGTCCTCACACTATTTCTACTATTTAAAAAGAATAATTTGTGAGATTCGTTCGGACGTCAGCAAATTCGTAGGAGCCCTAAGACCAGTTCAATTCAAAGAGAATATGTTACATTAAAGGTTCTTCCTTCTGACGTCAAACAGTTGAAACAAATTCTTGTGATAAATTATAAACAAAGGAGACTCTTCTTGTTTCTTAAATAGAGACACTATTATAATGCTAGTGACAGATCTTAGATCAAAAATATGTAGTGTAAGCCCTAAGGAAAATAATCAATTCCAGGTTATATATTAAAAGTAAATTTGCTTCTTCTTTATTTTTGGGTTTATTTCTGTTACTATTTGGTGATCTTATGTCGAAACTCAAATCATGTGTTATAGGTAGCTTGTGGTATAAAGATGGTGATGAAAACTGTGGATTTACGATCAGACACAGTGACTAGACCAACCAATGCGATGCGAGAAGCAATGGCTAATGCAGAAGTGGACGATGACGTCCTTGGCTACGACCCAACGGCTCGACGTCTTGAAGAGGAAATGGCTAAAATGATGGGGAAAGAGGCTGCTCTGTTCGTGCCATCCGGGACAATGGGGAATCTGATAAGTGTGATGGTTCACTGTGACGTGAGAGGCAGTGAAGTGATTCTTGGTGACAATTGTCACATCCATCTTTACGAGAATGGAGGGATTTCGACAGTCGGAGGAGTTCATCCAAGAACAGTCAAGAATGAAGAAGACGGGACAATGGACTTAGCGGCGATAGAAGCAGCCATCAGAGATCCTAAAGGAAGCACATTTTATCCATCAACAAAGTTGATTTGCTTGGAGAACACACACGCCAAGTAAGTCTTGCTTGATCAGGACCGTCTGAAACTATTTTTTTTAAGGCCTTGTGCCATTCGTTATCAAGCGGTTTGATGCATTAAACTGTTATCAAATGTGCAATAAAATTATTGATTAGTGTCTCTTGTGAGGATTTGATTTAGCTGTGGTGGGAGATGTTTGAGTGTGGAATATACAGAGAAGGTCGGAGAGATTGCGAAGAGACATGGTTTAAAGCTTCATATCGACGGGGCTCGCCTTTTCAATGCTTCCATCGTAATATCAGTCATCTACTCTTCTTATTCCTTTTCTCAACAATAATACATTTTACTTGGTTTGTGACATATGACAATACTTGTAGGCACTTGGAGTTCCAGTCCATACGCTTGTAAAGGCAGCTGACTCCGTTTCGGTGACCATTTTTACTCTCTTTATCCTCCTTGACACCTGAAAAGTTAAGCTAAAAGATTACTGAG